ACGGTAGTGCGTGCCTGTAATCCCAGCTACTCAGGAGGCTGAGGCAGGAGAATTGCCTGAACCCAGGAGGCGGAGGTTGTGGTGAGCCCAGATTGCGCCATTGCACTCCAGCCTGGGTAACAGGAGCAAAACTCCGTCTCAAAAAAAAAAAAAAAAGAACACAGGAATCGCAAACATAGGCAGGAGCCAGTGCCTGGAGGACTGAGAGAAAGCACCCTAAGAAAGAACAAGCATGGAGCAGGCTGCCCTCTCCTAAGCGGATTGAAGCTTTATTGGAGAGGGTGGGGCTGTGTCTCAGCACAGGGTTCAGCAGCAGCTATCTGTGAGTTGCTGGAGAGTTGGTGGAGGTGGAATGGAGTTTGTGGGCAGAGAATCTCCCCACACACCAGCTGGTGGCAGTTCTGCAGGAGGAAGGAGAAAATACAACAGTTCTCTGGAACAAGGAACCAGGACACAGCGCCCCCTTGCTGCAGCTCTGCCTGCCTGTCCCCCGCCCTCTGTTGTTAAAGCCTCGCTTTACTTCAAAGGTAAAACTGCAAAAGGAAACTGCTCACAGGATACAGCTCCATTATCAAAGATCAGGGTTAAAAACAGCAGATTTGGAGGTAGGAGGCAGCAATTAGATAATGAACACAAATGTATAGTCCACATGCAAATTTCTCTAATTCCATTGGTTGCTATATGACATAACTTTTGACTCCTTTAATCTTAAAAAGTCTCTCCTTTTTAAAAAAAAGTGGTTTTTTTTTTCACTACACTGACATTTTTAAGAGTCTAGGCCAGTTACTTTGCAGAATTTCTCTCAATATGGATTTACCTTTTTGTTTCTTCATAATTAGATATAAATTAAACATATCTGGGAGGAATATCACATACTTATAATAATATAGTATTGTGTCCACAAGCACATGGTATATGTTTGTCTCATTATTAGTGATATTTTCATCAGTTGGTTAAAGTTATGGTCAAGAAATGTATTTATTTCCCCATTGTAATTAATAAGCAATCAATTGAGTGATATTTTAAGAATGTGTGACTATTTTTCCAACACATTTTTGTCCAGTGGATCTAGCATCTATCAGTAATTCTTAGTTGCATCCATTATTGGAACAGTTGCTAAATGGCAATTTTTCTGGGCTTTCATTCCTTTTTCAATAAATTGACAATTTGAAGAACTTGAAGGTTTAGCACAAGCTGAGCCACAGGCCACATTTCTGGAGAAGGCAGTCCTCCTTCAGTACCTTTTCAGTTATTTATACTTTACAAATATATGTTACATGGAATCCTAAGTCAGAATCAACCTCCCTGCATTTTCTACCACCTCTCCCATCTCTTTGAGAAAAACATCTCAAAGGCCTTGTTTTATCATCCATCTTAAAGATACTACATATAAATGTGATTATGACATTATAATGGGCCCTGAGCTTTTCCTCACATAAACATATTTGTTTTAAATAACATATTTTTAGTTTGAAAGAATCTGTAACTTTTACAGTTTAATTCCCCAACCTAGAGATCAAAAGCAAGCTTGTTTGTTAATCATAAACCCATTTGTTCAAAAAATTATTCATTCAGCAAATATTATATAACAAAGTGATAGAAACTATTTCACTAATGGATATGGTAATTAACACACACACACACAGCCTCTGAGTTAATATTATTCCATTACAGTTTTTCAACTTTACCATGGTGTGAAAGTGATGAGTATTCAGTGGAGACCATACTTGGAGCACTCATACAGCCGCTCTGTTTTTCCCTCTCAGTATGGCATTCCATAAATTACATGAGCTATTCAACACATTATTATAAAATAGCCTTAGGTTAGAGGATTTTGCTCAATGTAGGCAATCAGTATTTCACTAAGCAGACCACACTATAGTTCCTGTGACATTTTTTCTTTTGGTAATTTGAACTCATTTAACCCTGGTTTTTTCTCAGCAGCTACATAATTCGTGTTGAATAATTAAAGGTAGTGTCTCCCCAGGAGCTCATAAGTTTCCAGCACATTCTGTTTTGAAACCAACTGTAGCATCACTAGCTAATTGGCACCCTTTCGCCTGAAGTCTTAGTTCTTCAGTCTCAACTATAGGTGGCAATAATTCAGAATTCAAAGAGGTGTCCCATTTGCCTGGGAAGCCTCATGCTAAAAGAGGCCCTACATAAAAGTAAGAAGGCTCTACATTAAATATTCCTGTAACTTTGAGGGTTCCTATATATCTGGGTGTCACCAAGATACTCTCTGTCAGATTGTGTAAAGGATTATCCTGGTTCTATCAACTGCTGGCATTGTGTGCTTGGTCAATTTATGTAATCTCTCTGTGTCAGTTTTCCTATGTGCAAAAGGGACAATAATAACTATTTTATAGATTTCACTGTGAAGTTAAGACAATTCTACATAGAAAGCATATAATGTATGTTAGCCATCATTGCTAGGCATAGTACAAGTGGTAGTTTTATCATTGAGGTAACCTATGGCATTTATATTGTTTGGTGGATGTAACTGCCCAGATTCTCCTTCAGGATTCAGCTCAGTCACTTTGCTTAAGGTCGTTCCCATTCCTGGGGTGGCTCACATTTAATGACCAATAGAAATAGAATGATAGCCTTGCCACCTTAGTCCAACTTGGGGAAAATCTGATGGACCATTCTTGCCCCATGGTTTGCTGTGGGGTTGATAGAGATTGTCTGGGCTCTCCCTATTGCAGCTCAGCCTGCATATGTCTCTGTCGAATCCTGCTTTGTTCCTCTCCCATACACAGGAACTGAATCCAAGTATGCTCTTTCATATGCATCCTATACCCTAAACTCCACTCTAGAGTTAACTCTACAGGGAACAATGCCTGTGATAATAGGATGGGAAAACAAATAAATCCCCTCTCTCAGATTTTGGACCCTGTGATCTAAGACCTTTGACCATTAGAGCTCTCCCTGTATCAGTCTTGGGGGTACTCTATGGTGTTTTGAAAGTACTCAGTAGTTCTCCCAGAAACTGTCTGGCTTCGTGGCATTTTTTCCAGTACTTTGGGTTGACCATTTTCTGTAAAGGGGAGAGTATCATAGGAAGGCCTTGAGCATCTGCCTGGAAACACTCCCTGTGGCCTTGGGTCTTGGGTAAGCATGAAATTGGCAGCCCAGCCAGTGAGAAATACTTTCTTTCCTGGTGTCTGGTCATCTAACCTGGCTGTCTGGGTCACAGAGGTTTGGGGGCATGGTAGAAAACAGAGCTTGGAAAAGTTCTTTAAGATGCTAGACAGAAGCTGCAGATGTTTTGCCCATGGAGTATACAAATTTATCTCCTGGTAACAGGTTGAGTTGGTTTTATATAGATACACAGATTTCAAATATAGTATCTTTCATCTTTTCAGAGAAACACAAGTGTCTTATTTTTGCAGCTTCAGACTTCTTATCTATTTAAACTTCTCATATACTGCCTGCAGGTCTTTCCAAGCCATACATCCACAAGATCTTTTCAAACAATATTGATTTATCCAATGTAAGAGACTTGAATTCATTTCAATAACAACTTGCTTTCTCACTAGTTGACAATTAAAAAAACAAACAAAACAATTCAAAGAATGAATGGGTGAGTGAATATTAAGGAAACACAAATGAAACAATCCATATTGTAGCCAGAGTGATCTTTCTAAAACACACTTTGTTTGCTATTCTTCACTAATTGTATTAATGTACCTGGAAGATTCTGAATAACCTGATAGCTGTTCGTTTCTTTGGCTTCACCCCATTCACCAAGTGTTTTCTCGATACATGAAGCACAACAAAAGCACACATATCCAGCCATACATATTTTTCAGTTAGTTTCAGACAAAGGTCAAATCTAGCTCTTTTGGAATATGATATATTTTTCTCCAGTCTATGAAGTCATTTTAAATTTTGTTCATTTCTATTAAATAATAAACAAACTGGAAAACTGTGCTGTATCTGCTATTGCATTAGAAGAGGTTGCTGATTTATTTAAAATTATCAAAATGTATTATTGCATAAATTCATTTTAGATGTAGATATATCCTTAAGTAAAATGATATCTCAAAGTTACTGCTTTATTTGCCACCTTCGTGTTTCCTTCTATGGAATTATTCTTTTGCTTAAGGTGAACATAATTTTGATGGTTTTGATACTGAGTAGAGGAAGTGTTAGAGGAGAGGCATTCTGGCTTGTTTCTTTGTATTGTCTCTATAGACCCTGGGATATGATGAGGGACTCAGTATTGAAGTAGGGGTATTGGAGACATTTTTGAATTTCCATTGCTCCTCCTTGCAAAACCATATATATATATAACTTTTAAATCTGGAGGACAGCCTAAATCCCAGCCAACTCCTCCCTCAAATCAGGGTTTCCAAGATGTAACTCTAAGCCAGAAGGAACTTTATGAACTACTTCCAATTCTGGTTTTGTGTGATAATTTAAAGTGTGATAATTCTGGTTTTGTGTGATAATTAAAATGAACAATTAAAAACAATTTATCCACATAGCAATGAAAAGATTTTTCAAAAGATTTTCCCCACAAACTTTAAAGGTATGACTTTTTTTTAATAAAAAGAAATTTTTCCAGCCAAATGGAGAAGCTTCTCTTATTTTGTACACTTCACATGTGACTTGCATCTGTCTTGTTTTGAAAGTAGAATGTTTATTCTGGAAAGTAATATTAAAAACAAACTGGTTTTTAAAAGAAGATGGTTTTTAGAAGAAGAAATTGATGACTATCTGGTTTCACTTTCTCATTACTTTTATTTTTTAAGTTTAGGACTATAAAATGCAAACTGAAAAAAATGGACATTCTGTAGTCCAATTCCTGGTGCTGTACCACTTAATTACTTTGCCTCAGATAAGACCAGGGTTTAAAAATACACATATTAAATTATAATTAATATTTTGTTCTACATTGAAACATTTAAAAATCTGTAATATGTTAGCAATTGTTTTTTAAATTTTTTATTTTATTAATAAAACTCTTATTTTAAAAATTTGCTAACATACAGGGTAGAGAAGAATTCTTGAAAAACCTCACTCAAGGTGAAGTGTCTGCTGGAATGGTGCTTCAGGTAATACTAATTTGGTTTTAATATTTTATTCTTCCTTTAATTTGCATTTTACTTAGCATTTTAAATTTGCCTGTAATAAGGCATCTTGTCAGTACTTGGTTTGCAAGCCAGCAGTTTTCTCTCCTTAGCTGATGACAGTTGCCCTCTGTGTACAACCAGCAGTGTCTGATCATGCATAAAGTAACTGACCTCCCATACACATATCTCAATTTGTGGCTTAATGGGAATTTCTGCCAGTCTAGTAAAAGGGCAGTGGGATCTTATTTTTAAGTGTCTGACTCTTTAGTTTGCTTTGTGATGATGTTATGTTTTCTTTACTCTTAGTGTCTTTCACTTGGATTTCTTTATTTAACCCTGAAAGAAAAATATGCTATGATACTTCTATATAAACATTTTGAAATTAAAGCATGTAAGCTAGCAAAATCAACTTGAATTTTTAAAATCTTTGTCTACCACCTGCATATCCTTTGGAATCTCAATTAGATTTTTTCATCCATGGCATGTTTCTAGAATATCTCTCCTGCAGAAATATACACATATTTAAAATTATTATTATTATTATTATGAGAAAAAAATGAGTCAAAACAGTTTCACACAGTGTTTTGTGAGATGATCTACACCTCTGATTCTCCTTGAAGCAAACATAAATTTTGTGGATTTTTTTTTCTGTTATGAAATTTGGCATTTTCAAACATAGAAGCAGTGTGTGCATCTATAAGTTTCCAAGCTCTAATTTGCCTAATTTATTTCTATACATATGTTTTATTTCTAAGTGCGTAACTGGAAAGACCTTTTGTTTAATATTTTGTTACTAACTTCCTCTGAGTTTGCTTTGTCTTATATTACAGGACTGGTATATATTCCTAGATACGTTGCTAGTGTGTTCTCTAACTTGGTGTCCTCCAATCCTTACTTAAAATGTTTGATTTTGACATTTTGGGCTGGGTAATATATTTTTTAGATTCTTGATTTTTATTGTCAATTAAAGTGTTTCTCTCATTTCTTTTAAAAATAACTGTATTCTCTTTAAATATACTCTATTCAACTGGGTTGTGGTGGCTAATGCTTGTTATCCCAGCACTTTGGGAGGCTGAGGTGGGTGTATCACTTAAGATTGGGAGTTCGAGACTAGCCTGGCCAACATGGAGAAACCCCTTCTCTACTAAAACCACAGAAATTAGCCAGGCATGGTACATGTCTGTAATCCCAGCTAGTGAGAAGGCTAAGGCAGGAAAATTTTTTGAACTTGGGAGAAAGAGGTTGCAGTGAGCTGAGCTCATGCCACTGCACTCCAGCCTGGCTGACAGAGCAAGACTCTGCTTGCGGGGGAAAAAATGTATATGTATATATATACACACGCACACCCACACACACAACGTTTGTATTCATTTTATGGTGGCATTTATTGTATTATTTGATTTTTCAAATAACAACAAATATTACTGCCTATCACTGAATAAGAGGCTCAATAAATGTTTAAGTAATTAATTACTGAATGAATTTTTAAAAATTTTTGCTGGTAGAAAAAACTGTATGCCATACATGAAGTCCAGGCACTTGAGAGGAAAGAGCTTATGAAAAAGAGAGCAATATGCACCGTATCACTGGCAGAACTAGAGGACACTCTGCATCAACTAGAAGATGAAATTGAAAGAATCAGAAATCTCTACAAAGAACTTTCTGTTGTAAGCATTTAATAATCTAAAAATCAAGTTACAGAAATATATACATTACTAAGTTATGTGTGTAATTTTACATTATTATTTGGAAAATTATGATTTCACATACGAAAAGTATGGGCAAACTAAGTAACTATTTCAGGACCACACAATTTGATCTACAATGAAACTATGTAGTAAGACCATGAATGCTATTATCTAGAACCCCATAGTCTTAGAGTGTACTTGGGAAAAGCAGTTCTCAGGTGTGAGTAGTGACTTATCTGGCGTGAACGTTCATTATATTAAATTTAATTCAAAGTCTTCACTCCTTCCTAATGAGATGCTAAAGTTGTGCTTATTTGCATATAAAATGTAAGAGATCTTGACATTTTTATGGTAAATTTTTGATGCATGTAGATGTTTAGACAGCTAGGATGAAAAATAAAGCAAATGTTGATAAAATATTTTCAAAATTACAAGTTTATGGCAGTAACTGATATCACTAGCCCTTCCCAAAGAAAAATTCAGCCAAAAAACATGTATTAATCCTGTCATTAGTCTTTTGGAGAACTAGAGGGTGTGGCAAGAGTTATTCATTCTTGTCCTTCCCTGCAGGCAGGCCATACATATATTTATTTGAGCTGTTTTGGCAATAAGACTTTTTTTCCTTTTCAAATAATAATGTAATTTTATGTTTTTAATCCTTCACAATTTTCAAAATGTCTTTATTTCTTTAAATTGTGATTTACAAAGTGTTTCTATGTTAAAGGATTTTTGAGCTTCAAAGCCTTCCTATGAAATAGGCAAGAGGAAGTTTACTGGTATCAAAGACTTGAGAAAATTTGTGCTCAAACAGCCTGAGCAACTTGTACAAGGTCATGAAGCATGGAACAACAAATTCTGAGTACCACTCTATTTAGGGCTCCTAAGTGCTATCATTATGCTTCTGCAATAAATATGTAACCAGTATAAACATCTAGTGGGATAAATGATTTTAATGATGGCTCCCCCTTACATTAATGATGGAAATTTATTAATTGCATCAAGCGCCTAAGTGTAGTTGTCTGAGTACAACAATGAATTCCAGAAAAGATTAATGGTTTTTGTTTCCTCTGCTTTTATAACAGCCATGGTTTTATGTTTTCTTGGAGTTCAGTAATCATTTTTGATTTGATTATATTTTAATCGTTAAGAAATTATAAGAATTAACATTATAAGAAATTATATATTAACATTATAAGAAATTATATTATTAAGAAATTATAAGAATTAACAATTTAGAACACACTAAGGAAGAATAAGTTTTTACGCATTTTTGCTTACCTTTGTATTTGGAGTTTTAGTTTTGATTAAAATAAATATTATAACAAAAATTCATAATTTCTATGTAAGCTTATTTATTTTTGTTACTTAACTAAAATTCATTAGATTTTGTCTTTCTCACTGATGCAAGTAGAATATTGAGATTTTTGAGACTCTACAGTATGTTTCTGTAATTCATGTGTGGTGGTCCATTTCCTTTTTTTGCCAAAATAAATGCTGTTGTTATTAAAATAGTCACTTAAGTACTATTTGGCCTAAATGAGGATAAGTGGGTTACAAATGCTGCACATCTTAATATCTGAATGTCTTCTAGATACTTGACAATATACTTGAGCAGAAAGATGATATTAGAAAAAAGATGGAAAAAATAAAGAAAAAATTACAAAAAAAGGGGAAGAAAACCTTTGATGCACTAGCAGAAACTGAGGTGAGATATTTAATTTCAAAATATAATTTTGAATTTATGGTTTACATATATCAATAAAAATTATTCAAGCAATTTTAATTTTAAGTGAATGTGTCTTATTTCTTACTGGTTGTGCTAAATTGACTATGTATGGATAAAAGTACACACACCCACACACACAGCCCTTGTGTTTTCATTTACTTTCTCTTACAATATCTTTCTCACTGGTCTAGTTTATTAGGGACAGGGTTCCTAATCAGGATAAATACAAAGAAAATTTAATATTGGATTAATACAGAAGTCTACTGCTTTCTGTGATTGCCATACTGTCTACTTTTGCTTGGAGATTTAAAAAAAAAAAATGAAGATGAAGAAAAGAAAGAAAAGGGAAGAAAACAAGAAAAAACAGAGGGAAAAAAGGAAGGATGAAGGGAATTGCTATGGTCTGAATGTTTGCAGTCCCCCAAAATTCATATGTTGAAACAAAATCCCCAACAAGAGGCTGAGCTTTTAGGAGGTGATTAGATTATGAGATCTTGTTGGGATTAATACCCCTATAAAAGAGGGACCAGGAATCTTGTTTGCCCTCCTATCGCATGAGTATGAAGGAAGAAGATACCATCTTTGAAGCAGAGAGGGAGGCTTCATGAGAACCTGAATCTGTTGTTGCCTAGTCCTTGGATTGCTTAGCTCTAGAACTTTAAGACATACATTTCTGTGGTTTACAAAGTACTCATTCTAAGATATTTTGTTACAACAGCCTAAAAAAACTAAGACAGGAAGAAAGAAAAGGAAGGAAGGAAGGAAAGGAAGGAAGCGAGGGAGGGAGGGAAGGAGGGAAAGAAGAAGAAAAGGGAAGGAAGGAAGGGAGGAAGGAGGACAAGAAGAAAAGGAGAAAAGTCAAAATTAAACAATAAAAAACAGCATGATTACACTTTTGTTAAATGGCTGGAATTTTCTATTGACATATGTCTACTGTTTCAGCTAGAAATCATCAATCTGTCACTCTGAAACTACAAAAGTATCACGTTTAATATAAACATGCTTAAAACTAGTGAGCATTTTCTTTTCAGGTAGAGAACTTAGAATCATTAATGTAATTATTTTAATATTACAAAAGACAATAATTTAATTTAAAAACATATACATAATCCTTTAAATTTTAAGCCAACTACTACTAAGATTTTGTTCTTGAAAGATCTTCACTTAGCCAATTAACATCAACTTTTTCCACTCATCTTACTACTGGTTTTGTACACAAATTCGTTATTTAGTTGTCAGTTAAAATAAAGGATTGACTTTACATGGTAAAATGATATTCTATTGTGCCAGGGAAAAGACCTACACTGACTTTGCTTTTGATGAAGAGAGTGTAAAGCAGAAGGTTTCTAAATTATGTAATGCGCTGTTGGAGCCACAGCTCACAAAAGAAGTATAGTTCAAGAGCCAAAAAAATAATTTTAAAATAACTTACTTTTATTTGCATTTTATAAAAGGCACTGTGATCAAAACTACAATGATGTCCTCATCACTCCCAAGTGATGCTCCTTGTACATACTTCTTTGCCTTTCCGCCCCTCCCCCACCCCATGTTCTTACACGCCACAGGCACAAAGTGCCTCTCATCAATTTCCTGGAAAGTCACTCTTACTATTTATCTCATGTCCATCTATCTATTTCTTTCTTTCTTTCTAACCATCTGTGTCACAAGAATATTTAAAATAATGGTTTGGCAAAGGTAAGACTCATTTCTTCAGTAGAGATGGAAATAGAACCCAGACTCAACTATTGGAGTCAGCACATTTTTTAGCTGAAAGAATGAGAGAAAAGTCCAAGAGCACTGCAACTTTAATGCTGTTGTCTTAATGTATGAATTCAGCGCCTACTAGGTCTGTTAGGCACTATATTCACATCTTCAGATGAAAGAGAGACTGGCTTCTCTGAGGAAGATGACTCAGAGTGCATGAGGCTATGCACAAGAAATGAAGTGAGTGAATTGCAGGGTTTATGGGGTATATTTGGTGTAGACTTCAAAACAGTAAGCAGCCCTATCCCTGTCTGGTACCCAGGGTTTTGTGGGTTTCTCTAATAGTCAAATGCTTAAATACATTCAAGTGTACTTAAGAGAGTATCCTTGGTAGTGGCATTTCTTGCACACTAGAATTTAGGAATTAGGAGTCATAAGTGGAAGACGTGATTACTACAGCAGTGAAAAATGACTGGGTCAATTCAGAGCAGAAAAAAAAATCATTTTCCCAGCATTGTTTTCAGCCAATATTATCAGTAGACATTAGGTAGGTCAGCTACCTCTTATTAGCTTCATTATTATCAACAACATTTGTTAATGTTGACTTCAATGTGCTAACAAAGGGCAAACATGGCTCAGATCATTTCATGGAATTATCACAGCAACCTTGTGAAGTACTTACTATTCCATTTATATAAATTAAGAGCTGAGGTTTAAAGAGATTAAATTCCCAAATAGCAAGAATTCCCTTCTACCCAATCTCAAACTCATGCATGCCAATACCTACTATGTATACTAAAATCTCATGTGAGTTCCTTTAGCACAGTGACAAAAGGCAAGGGCCAGCTTTGGTTTAGAGAAAATAGTAAAGGCTTTGGAGTCAGAGAAATCTAGTATTTAACCAGTTGTCACCACTTAAACTAGCTATTCTATCTTGGACTACTCTGGATTTCCTATTGTCATGTGGATATAACATTGATTATATTGTAACTGTGAGTCATAAAAGGCATGGTTCAAATACAGTGCATAGTACGATCATTGGTGCATTGTAATACCCATGATTACTCCCTCACCCCCACTGCCTTTTCTACTAAGTAGAGGCTGGAATTTGTACTCTAGTAGAGAGTATCTTAAAATCACATTTCTGTTATTAATTTGCTTCTGTGCTAAGAAGTAACTAAAATACATATTACCATTTATTTATAAGTTACTAATAATGACAAACTATATAACAAAATTTATGACATAGGCCAATATAATATTTTGACATTACCAATAAATGATTTTGATTTTTTTAAAAGCCTAAAAACATTTAACATATTTACTAAGGGAAAAGAAGAAAAAAAGAAAGTTAACAACCATGAGAATGATTAAAAGGGATATAACTGGCCAGGCACTTTGGGAGGCCGAGGCGGGTGGATCACGAGATCAAGAGATCAAGACCCTCCTGGTCAACATGGTGAAACCCCGTCTCTATTAAAAATACAAAAAAAAAAAAAAAAAATTAGCTGGGCATGGTGGCGTGTGCCTGTAATCACAGCTACTCGGGAGGCTGAGGCAGGAGAATTGCCTGAACCCAGGAGGCGGAGGTTGCGGTGAGCCGAGATCGTGCCATTGCACTCCAGACCGGGTAACAAGAGCGAAACTCCGTCTAAAAAAAAAAAAAAAAGAAGGATATAATTTTTTTAAAGGGATATAATTATATGCAGAGTAAATTAAAGAATACCGCTTGGCATAGGAATTTGTTTTAAGATCTATATGAAGTGTGTGATTTATTTATAAAATGCAAATGGTGAAAACTGGGTCAAAAGAAATAAAACACAATAGATCAATGGTTAGAGAAGAAACTGAATTTGCCAAAACTCTACCAATAAAACCAAGAATGAGTCAAGATACTGTATGAGCTTCTCTACACATACCACTGACAGAGCATAAGAAAGCACGGACATCTTATAAAATTATTCTATAATGAGACTAAAACCTTGCAACTATAACCAAAAATTAGTAGCATAAGAAACAAATTCACTGGTGATCTTGCTTATGAGCATAGATGACCAGATCATTAGCTAAATAAATTTTGCAGTGTGTTAAAAGATATGCAAAACCAGCTTCCTTTGAAGATGAGAATCTTCATCTAAAACTAAAAAATGAATGTTGAAATCTGACCTAAACATCAAATTTAGTTGTAGAGAGCATGCAGTACTCAGAGTACCCATACTCACTCTTCTGCTTTCTGTCTTTGAGTTTACTTCCCCCCACTACCTGTAACTTAATACTCTAGTGGGCCCATCAACAAATTCTAGTTAGCTATATTTCCATTACATTCTAGTATAAGGAGAAAAAAAACTCATTTATCAGTAGAAAATTTTCAGAACTTTCTAGAAAAAGAAGGAAACAAAGCAGGAAGGATATGAAAATTCAAATGCAGTACCAACTGTTCAAAATCTTGGACAAATTACAATGTTTTATAGGAAAATAAATATAAAATATTAGTTGTTATTCATGAAATCAATGAGTAAGAAAAGGATTTGGAAGCATATGAAGAATATAGAGGATAGTGGGGGCAGAAGGAGCCATAGAAATCTGTAGAATCAATTGGGAGAGTAACACTAATTAGCAGCCATGCTGAATGTGGGAAACAATTCAGTAACAGTCAATCAGTGAGTCACTCAGTCCCATTTGAACCCCAACAGTCATAACTGGATGACACAAAAATAGATGCACAATCAAATCTTCATTCTGGAATTGCACAGGCCTACCATGGAAAATTGTGCTGGTCGTAAATATTGGCTTCTTTTCCTGGAAAGATCAGAACAACATATAGCCTTGTCCACCTGCCAATGCACTTTGTACATGTTTAAAAACCAGTGACTACACATTTACATCTTGAAATGACATGCTTATGAGGTGTGCATTTAGGTGTGTGTTTGGAAAGAGGAGAAAGTTTGTGTGAGACAGAGAGAATAAATCCTTTTATTGTTTAGAAAATTCATCAGATATAACAGTGGAGAATATAAACCTCAGTTGGTTTTTTAGAGACAGCGTCTCACTCTGTCACCTGAGCTGGAGTGCAGTGGAGCAATCATGGGTCATTGGATCCTTGACCTTCTACACTCGTGATCCCCCCATCTCAGCCTCCCAAGTGGCTGGGGCTACAGGTGTGAACCACTGCACCTGGCTATTAAAAAAAATTGGGGTAGAGACCAGGTGCTTGCTTTGTTGTCCAGGTTGGTCTTGAACTCCTGGTTCCAAGTGATCCTCCTGCTTTGGCTTCCCAAAGTTCTGGGATTACAGGAGTGAGCCATCAGGTCTGGTCCACTATTAACTTTTAATTGTTAACACAGCCAATGTAATTGTGGCCCTAAAGAGCAGGGATTTGAAAATCCAAGTACTTAAAACACTTCTGTATATATATATTTTTCAGAGTAAACGCTCACTAATTTTTAATGACTTAGAAGTGACGAAAAGTAAGACAATTACGTTTTTTGCAAAAATAAATGAATTGAATGAGGAATTAAAAGCAAAAGAAGAGGAAAAGAAAGGTTTGGAGCAGACACTTGAAATGTTAAAGTAAGTACTTAAACTTTATCAAAATATGAAGTGTATTAAAAAGTTAATAAAAGAAATTAGATTGAATTTTCATATTTAAAATGCATTCTTAAAATAATTCATATTTTAAACTGTAACTTAGTGTGGAAAATATATATGATATTTAATTTTAGTTTATAAAAGCATAATCATATATGATTTTCATTTTTTATTGCTTCTCTGGGTTTATTATTTGAATAACTGGGAATATTTCTCCCTTTCCAGTGAGAATAACTTTTATTCTTTATTATATTAATAATATTCATCATTACTTTCAGATATATCAGTATTTATACACCAGGTTTAATAATTTATGGTTTTTCACCCAAACTTTTTTATTAGTTTTGAGGTAAGAGTTAAGACTCAGTCTATAAAACCTCATACAATTTATTCACATTTATCATTTTCAAAAGTTTCTTATCAGTCTCCTCATCAGTCAGAGATATAACTGTTCAGGGTTAGTAAGGCCTTTGGCTTGGAGAATCATCATGTGCTGAGGCTGATGGGGTATCCATAGACCCTAACCTAGAACTGATGTACTCCTCCTTTACTCATTCTGCTTCTCATTTTCTATCTTGTAAAACACTGAGAAATGGACTTGGAGGAGTATTAGAAGAGCATGCATTGTCCACATTTAGAGATAACAGCCTGCTTTAAATATAGAAGGCTAACATAAGCATTAGCAAAATCATAATGCTTGAGGGACAAAGTGTCAAAGTTATGCCCAGCCTGATGCCATGCATTCCAATGGAGTCAAGTCAATGCCCCCATCAAGGATTTGTTTTGCTATTTATTTAGTGAGGATTTGTTTATCATAGGGTAAAAACTTATGTTCAACATGATAATTCAGCTTTATCTGAAAAAGACTACTCATATTCAGTATATTATGTGAAAAAGCAGGGAAACATACCATTTACTTTGAAAGATATTTATCCACCTTTTTTAACACCTGCAAGAATATCTTGGGACTCAAAGATATAAATATGAATTTATATAACTTATATTAAACTTATAAAGATATAATTCAGGAGCTGATGAAAATTTTTTCTTCAGGCTTTCTCCCACTTCAATCCTAACTTCTTCTGATGCTGGATTATATGGCCTTTCAGACAAGAGTGGTTTCCATGTCCCATTGAAACAGTTCTCTCTCTGAACTTGACAAAACCCTGTCTTCCAACAAGAAAAGGAGATTTTGAATTAGCCAATACTGTAGAATTACTTATACAACTATTAATTAGCAGTGATGATAGATAATGCCAAATAATATTTAAAGCTACCATTGAATGACTTGCTATTGTGCCAGGTGCGTCCTGGACAATATGTGTACCTTGTCTCTTCCAATTCTTATAGCAAATGGTTAAACTGTATGATTTCCAATGAATTCTGAGAAACAGAGGCTCAGGGAACTTAAGATCACACTCTAACTCATTGTAGAGTTAGCATTAGCTTAGCTCCATCCTGTTCCAAGTGTGTGCCCTTTTGACTGACCACCTAAAGTGAGATTCCAAAGGAAAATCAGCTGCTTTATGAATAATCTACTTATATATTCAGTAGGTTCCCATAACAAGTTACCAATTATTTATTGGGAACTCGAGGACCTAGTGACAGGCCCCAGTAAGACAAAGATGGCAAGTGGGAAAGTGTATCTTCAAGTGTCTGAAGATCTTTGCAAAGAGACAAACCTCACATATATAAGACAATTAAAATATGATGTTAAAAATAATGGCAGTCAAAGCCATCCTTGGCCCTCACTTAATTTTTATAATTGTTTCTTACCTAGAAAGTGGAAAATTAAAATCCAGACCCATAAGACTTCAAATTCTGCTTGTTTTATCACTAGGAGGAAGAAAACACCATTTTATTGCATAGATATACATGTATATAGTGTATATAAATGTCTGTGTATATATAATTAATAAAATGTTATAATATAATTCAATATCAAAACAATGTAGAGAACAAAGTACATGTGGTCAAAATATATCAATTTTTGTGGGGAGCAACTATGAACATTTTATCCTTTTGGTCACACTAGTTCCTTCCTGTGTGAATTCAATTGGTTCTTTATGCTCCTAGATGTCAATATCATTGGCTGCTGATAAGACATCACTTAATAATTTGGAATGTCATTGGTATGAATGATGTAAAGGAAAAATCAGGGCAAGGTAGATTAAAAAGGAGAAGAACCTTATTTCCTGTAGAAGAAAAGGCTCACATCCACTAAGTGTAAATAAGGTGGTATGTTTTCAAATTTGCTGATAGCAGATATAATGAAGAGACAAAAAATGAATACTTAATGTTGAACTGCTGGATCAGAGAAAGGCAGCACTAGATTTGAATTCTGGTTCTGTCATTTACCAGCTAGTTGAGCTTACACAAGCTAATTGATTACACAAGTTCAGGTTCCTCAACTCTAGATGGCTATCTTATTATTATTTCACTGTATTTTTGTCATATTAAATGGGATATTATTTAAAAGCAGAGATATTATTTCAGTCCTTCCCAAAATATTAGTATTGCTACCTTTATAGCTAACTGTGCAAGTGATTTAATTTTCTTTATCAGTATACTTGCTCACTAATGTGGATAGAATTAGACTGTGCTGAGGTTTTTTTTTAGATACCTTATTCTGGAAACTGAGTTACTGCTCAACTTTGGCAAGCAGGTTATTGTCACCAGTATTGTTTAACCACGTGTTGATACTTTTCTACTAGTATTGTTCCTTGCATAACTACTGAGTTTGCCATAAAAGTTATTTACCTTTGCATTAGGATGTATTTAATTGCAAATGATAAAATACAGAAATGCACACGCACGCATACATATACACACCTATTCACATACCAGCTTAAACAATAAAAAAATGCATCATCTTATATCGCAGAAAGCACAAAATAATAAAAAATGCGTCATCTTATATAACACCAGCTTAAATAACAACAAAAAAAGTGCATCATTTTATATAATGGTAGGGAGGGATGCTGCAGGGTTGGTTTATTCAACAGCTCAACGCCAGGCACTCATTTTTTTCTGTCTCCACTATGGCTGTTGGTAGCAACTTTGGAAACATGAGTTATAAGTCACATTTAGTGGGTACAAGCTCTTCTGCATGGAAGTAAGCCCTTCTCACTCACTTCATTGAGCTATCTTAATATATCTGCTCACTCCTGGACAATGGGTCATATGCTGGTTGGACTAATCTAATCAGAATATATCTCTAGAGTTACATGCTGCTTGGAGGAAGGGTTTTCTTGAAATACCTAAAGAATAGAAACATGCTGGATAGGTAACCATTTTCTTCTAACTGGATGATTTAGATGTAGCCCTATGGAAGTAGGACTTTGTAAAAAACTAGGGATTTTTTCCAAGGCCTGTCAGCTGGAGGCTATTAAAGATTTTTCATTTTGGGTCTTTTAAAATGTATCACAAATGCATTTTTTAAAATAAAATGTGAATTGATTCATGGCACATGAAATTCTTTCTTCATAGGAACAAATTTATAAGTATGAGATTTAAAAGGGAGCATGCACAAACTGTTTTCGATCATTTTATGCAAGAGAAAAAAGACTGTGAAGAGAGAATCTTTGAGGAAGATCAGAGATTTAGAGTGCTCCTTGCTGTAAGGCAAAACACTCTTCAACATACTCAGGTGAGTATTATTTTTGACTGCTTCAGAATGAACAAAATATATGTAGTTAAATTAGCAGCTATTTTGAGGCACTTTTTATCCTGAAGTAGCAAAGATGTTCATATTTTAAACATAAATTAGTTAGCATAATAAACCTGTAAGTTTTCATTGTCTCTTCTAAGTAATTATGACATATTCATAGAGCATATTATACTTTTCAATGCATTTTATGTGTACTCTCATTTATTATCATACTTTATTTTATTTTGAACTCTATTAATATAAAAATGTAGACTGTATTTATTCCAGAGCCCTTTTATGCTTTTAATGAAAGATGTTAGAATGTTTATCATTTGTTTCTGAATGAATATACTTCAAATGTTTACCCACCAACTTTTTTGAGGAATGAAAATATGTCATGCTCTTTTCCTGTAGAAAATTTTTTTAATAATATTGTAATGGACCTATAAGTTTACTTGTCTTAAAAAGGGAAATTGTATTAAAATGTCTTTTAGGCCTGAATTTTTACTGATCCAATTGTATAAGGCTATACTTATAAAATGTTTGCATTCAGTTAAATGAGTCCTATAGCATTTTACATCTCACAATAGTTTTTGTTACATTTAATTGTAATTTGTGTTAGTACCATTTAAAAAATGCATTTTAAAATATTACTCAATTTTGAAAGATACAATGGGACGTTTTTCTAAAAAAGAAAATAATTTTCTGTACTATATTAAAATTATTTTCTGTGAAAGTTTTCAAAGTATATATAGTTTCATAATATACTTATATTGGCTATTTTGATCCTTATATTCATATAGTCAAATATAATATTTATATATCCAATTATTATATCTATACTTCAATTACTTTGCCTACTTTTTACATACCCAAAGACATGTGAGAACAGTTTTTTAAAGATTATTTGGAACAAATGTACATCGAATGAACAAGTATGTGGGTGAAAGAACGTATCTTCTTTAGTTCTATTGCTGTGGTTTGTCTATTAGAAAATTATTAAGAAGAGAATAATATTTTATTAATAACAATGCTAAGTAACATTCTTCCATCTTAAATGTGGCCATTACATTTTTTAAAAAGGGTTTTTTTGACCTAAAAATATGAAAATAATTGGTGCCATCTAGTGGCAATACATGATGCCTCTTCTTAGAGGAGCTGCTGAAACCGATGGCTGAGTTTCAGATATGTGAGCTGGGAATGGATTGGAGGAAGCTTAGGCTACAATGCACCTCTCAGAACAAGAAGGCTTAAGTATTTACCGACTTAAACATTCTTCCCCACCTCATATTTTATTACAGCAGTAGAATTTGTTATTTTAATTCAACCACGTTTTCCAATCATAGTGGTGCTGAGAACACAGTGGGGTCTCAATAATCATTTATCGGCTGGCATTCCAGCACTATAATGGAACAATAATAATTAGTGGAATGGCAAAAGATGGTCAGCAGGAGAGAGATGAATAAAACATCCTCTGTAACTAGCCTCTAAATTATTGAGATTTGCATTTCTTTTCGTCAAAAAGCCTGTCCTTGCCTTTCTACACCAAGTGTACCCACCCCCAGCCACTTGGAAGCATTATATGGTCTCATGTTTTTTCCTGGGCACTGATCTCTATCTAAACTTGTTTTGGTAATTCATTTATGCCTTTTCTTTTGTCTGCCTATCTCCTGCCATAATAATGTCTTCTCTAAGGGGAGGGAAATTTCTTTCATATCCTAAAAGCTCAGTACTATGTCTGGCCAGAAGTACCCAATAAATACGTGTTGAATGAATGAATAAATAAATAGATAATGGATGCTTGTTTGAATAATTTTGTTGTCCACATGCGTAATAGTGGCAAGAAGCAGGAGCATTTTAGAAGTACTGTTCAAACTCCACCAGCCTGATACTCCTGATGCTTTACCAAACTCATGCTGGTGCAAAAGCTGAATCAATCTCTCTTTCTCTCTATCTCTCTCTCTGTCTCATTCTCTTTCTTTTCCAGATACTTCCCACTCTAGTGAAAATGGTTAAATTGCCTATTGCTTTCTAGCACTTAAGGATTCTCTTAACTGTGTCAACAGTGCTTGTCAAATAACATTAAATTTATGTGAAGTTTTCTCTTACCAGTTTCCTGGATAGCTCTTTGTTGTGCATTCACCTTATATGACCAGAATCATATAGTTTGAAGATGTGGAGTTTAGCGATTGATGTGCCTCATCATTAATGATGCTATTTATCTATGATTATTATCAGTTATTATTAAATAGTGAAAAAACAATGTGATTTCTCATAGAAACCTGACCTCATCCCTGTGTAGGAAGTGGGTAAGTTTGTAAATGTGAGTGTAATGTAAAGGATTCCTGCAAAGAAAAGAGTCTCATCAAAGGCATCATTATAAATGTAGTGTAACTTATCCAAGGTGTCCCTTTTGGACAAAAGAATTGATAAAAATTATGGGTCATCTGTAGGGATGATTTAATAAATGCTTCATAAAAGCCACAATAGAGTTAATAGAGAATATGAGAAAACAGACCATAGAATTAGAAATACAAACAGCTAATAAAATAAGAAAATATACACAAACTTCAGATAACATACAGACAGCATGGTTCTGGAGTTAGCTTTGATCTCTCTTCAGCAGGCAATATCATATCATATATCCTAAATGGTAGATTGTTTATAATGCCATGGCATTTTTACCAACTTCTATAATTTGCAAATGCCATTGCTTAAGATTAACTTTTCAGTGTACCATATTCATTAGAGGACTATAGCTCTAGCTACTGATAATTGTACTTGCTTTTGGAAAGATCTGTACAAAATTAGAGCTTATATATGATATAATTTGTTATGAGTTGTCTTTAGAAGGCCAGCTGTATTGTCTATGTTATTGCATTTCTCTATGTGGCCTTCCATAGATTTGCTCTCCCTCTATAATTTAGCTTATGAGAGAGGTACAATGAATTACACCGGAAGAATAATTTCAAGATTGAGTTCTAGTGGAGACAATCTCCCATTCCTTGTAGAGTTAATTGCTTTTTATTCTGCTTCATATTTTCTACTCTCAGGAAATACCTCTTCCTCTGGCTATAGCAGTCCCAAATTTGGATATTAAATTATTTTTGACCCTTTCATGTGGAAAAGTTTTAGCTTAACACATTGTTTCATTTGACTACCAGATACTGGAATAGTAAAAATTTGAAACAAGTTTAATTTCTGAGATATTGTAAAGATCATTACAATTTTTATGTTATTATCCTATTGGTCACTCATCATTTCTGCATTCTCACAACTATTTCATGAATATTACTGTATTCAAGGCACTCAATGTTGAATGACCAAAACCCTAGACTCCATTTTCAAGATACATCAGCAGGAAGATGGAAGATATGAAAAATAGATTTGAAAATATGAAAAATAGTGGTCACACCCAAGTTATACATATGATTACCACATCCAGATTACAAACAGCAAATTGTGGCCTCATCCACTGTTCTGAAAAATTAGAAATTACTTTTAGTAAAAAAAAAAAATTCACACATTCTATGGTCTCAATTGTGGGAAATGAATGTGTGATAACCTGGAAACATTTAGACGAACTGACCAATGAATTTCCCAGGCAAGAGTAATTTGCCTTATTGACAATCTTCTGTCACGAAGACTACTTTACTGTAACATGAAATTTTTCTAAGTTAGGAATCTGCTTTACATAATTAATATTTCTTTCAAAATAACTTCTGATAGGATTATGCATCAATTAATAACACATTAATTATATAAACTAGGCTCATTGTATTGCTTTTGAAAAGTAACTTGTTAAAATCTATTGCTGCTTGAGGAATGAAAATTTTAATTTGAAGATTGGTGGCAAGAGTGCTAATTCTGTATCAGGGGATACCTCATGTTTTTGCACAGATCTGGTGTTTCAATCATCACAAGTACTTAACAGGATAGAGTAACACTAGAATATAGAGGAAGGATGGATATGGTTGATTCCTAAATATATCTTTAATGTATTTTGAGTGTTTGCCTACAGCATGATCGATTAAATAAGGAAGAAACTTCTTTTCTTTGCGACTCTCTCTTTATCATCATGTCACTCCTTGTGGACACGTGGCAGAATTACTGCTAATACTATATTAAAGCACTGTCTATCTGAAATTTGAATAGATTTTTTATTTTCTGCATTGACAACCACCATGTTTAGCTTTTCGTTTTTAACTACCTTGAAGCATCTATTGCAGTTATTTGGCTGTAGCCCATTTCAGTTTTTCTACAAATTAGTATTTGTCTTATGTAGTTGTTCTAATACCCAATGAACACAGTTTTGGGAACTATGTTCTATTTTTCTCAGGGTCATTTTCCACTGGAAAATGAATGTTCCCTGAGAAAATCATATCATTTTTTCAATGCCTTCACCCACTGTAGCATAACAGCAAAAATACCTAATTTTTCTCTTTTGATCAACTAAAATAATCATGAGTTTTCAAATATCAAATTGCAAATTTAAATATACCTTAATTAGCTATGGTTTATTAAATTTTTAATACATTACTAGATTCAATTTATGATCACTTAATTTGAATATCTATTGGTCTGTAATTCTATTTTGTACTTTTTAAAAAAGTTGAGGTGGGAGGATCACTTGAGTCCGGGAAGTTGAGGCTACAGTAAGCCACGCTTGCGCCACTGCACTTCAGCCTGAGTGACAGAGTGAACACCTGTCTCAAATAAATAATTTGCATGGGGTCTTCAACTTTTGCTTCATAAACAATTCTTGAGCAAATAAATCAATGAAATAATTAGTTTAATCTGGTTAACAACAGATTCCACATAATGAAAGTTCTTATATTTCAGTCTACTTGATCTGCCATAGACTATTCATAGTGTATTAAATTTTCTACTTGATTTATTTCTGTGGGCTTTGCTTTATATATTTGTTGGTCTTGTTATTCAGTGAATATTATAAGCTATAATTATTAAATGATCATTTGGATTGTACTTTTTTAGAAAAT